GAGTTATTGATACTTCAAGTGCAAAATGATAATATAAAACCATGATAAAAATGGACTTTTAAGTACTAATCAGGATGTAAGGCGCTTTAGTTATTTTGTTGTGGTTTTCTTGTTATTCTCATAAAGGGTCAAGAATAATTGAGTATTTTAATATATATAAAATATTATTTAAAATAAAAAGTGGGCATTGCTTGGGCCCTTCGAGTGGCATACCCTATTCCAAAACAACTCCAAACGCTCTTTTTTAAGATGATGTTCGATGTGTCTTATCACCTCCATTATAGTGGTGAGGCTTGTGGTGTTAAAGGATTGATGGTTGAGCTCTGATCACATGCTTGTTTTTTTCTCTCTCTCATCTCTTAGAAAAACATGTTGGCCATTACCAAAAAAGAAAGTCTAGTTGTTTGTTTCTTGAGTTATATTATGTCTCTATTCTTTTGATTGCAATGTATTTGATCATGAATCATATATTGAGTGTTTTTTTTTTAATTTCATCATTTGATATTTGATTTTTATATTAGATTTTATCCTTATTTTTTTAATTGCAATATATTTGGTCATGAATATTTTATTGAAATATTTGTTTTTCAATTTATTGACATTTGATTTTTATATCAAATTTGGTCTTCATTCTTTTGATTATTATTTTTATTTTTTATTAATTAAATTGTTTTTTTAATTTTATCTCTTATGATTTTATTTTATTTTTATATCCAATTTGGTTCTCATTCTTTTCAAATATATATATTTTTCTTTTTTTTTTCAAATTTATCCTTAATTATTTTCGTTAGTTTAGAATTTTAAAAAGTTATTTACTAAGGTTTGCCTTTTATATTATGATCTAGCCTTATAATTCGGGTCACAGGTTTTGAAGGTTGGACCAAGTTGGCTTTGGTCTTCTTGTTTTTTATATATATATATATATATATATATATATATATATATATATAATTTCATTCAAAATCATTAGATTCATTGAAAATTAATATTCTTTGTTTTTTTAACTTTTTTTTCTTTATAGATTTATCCTGATATCAAGTTTTGGATTTTCAGGTTATGAAATCAACAGGTTTTTGAGGTTAAACTTTGGCATTTTATTTTCATTGCTTTTTAATTTTTTTTTTAATTTCACTCTTTAATATTAGGTTGGTTGGAAAATTGAACTTCATGATTTTATTCAATCTACTTTGGTTTGATTTTCGCTCAAGTTGGATGATAAAAAATTTACCATGTTCTATTCTTTGAAGGATGTATATTTAAGAACTTACATATATAATGGCTTAGACAGACTCAAGTTTTTTTTTTTAAATTGTTTTCTTTTCAATTTTATAATTCGTCATTTTATTTTTTTCTATCTATGCAATTATCTCATTCTCATTTAATTTTTACTTTGTTAACAAATAAAATTATTTAAATGTTTTAGGAATATTGTAAAGATATATTTTCATAATATTGATGAGCATTCCTCTTTTGAATTAAATTGTTATTTTTTTTCTCGTTTTATTTGTTGTTAATATCTTATTTTTTAATCATATTATTAAATTAACTAAGTTTTTTAAACTTATTCGAGACCAAAATCTTAGAATATTTTTTCTTGTTTGAAAATGTTTGCATTATTTTTATATCCTTTTTATGATGAAAAAAATAGATAGGCCCATGAAATATCGCGAACCACTTATCTAGTATAAATAAAAAAAAAGGGGTAAGAACAATGTCATTTAGGGGTATCTGGATTTTTTATTATTATTCTTTGAATAGTAAAAATGCAAAAATACTTTTAGGATAAAAAATTAAGCTTGGCATATAGGGGAATTTTTGTATTTTTTAACTTCAAATGCACAATTAAATTACTGAAATGCTCTCGAGGTAAAAAAAAAAAGCACTTTGGCTTAAAGGTCATTTTTATCATTTTAACTTTGTTTTTTTTTTTAAAAAATAATTGTCAATAGGGCTAGGTGCAAGTTTGAACTTTAATGTTTAATAAATATTATTGTCATGGTTTCAAGTAGAGCATGTAGTGCCTCATAAAGGCTAGACATTGGTTTTCAAGATGTCATTCAAATCCTCTCCTTATTTCTTTATGTTTGGCTAACACATGTCCTTAACGCACCTTTATTTTAGTACTGTGAGCTCTTTTTTTTCTTATTTCCCTTTACCAATCAATTTTTTTTTGTCTAACCCTCTAGATTTTCAGAGCTACGCTCAATTTGTTTTGCCTTTGGATTTGATCCTTACTTTTTTGTTTTTTATTTTTTGCTATTGATCTTTTTATAGAGTTTTGATATTTTTTTTTAATTTTATCTTTTAATCCCAATTTATCATGTGTTGTTTTTACATCTTTATTCCTAATTCTTTTGATTTCTATTAACCCTTTTGTGCAACTTCTATTGATTTTTAATTTCATTTCTCAATGCATATTTATGATGTATTATTTTTTTTAATTTGAAATTCATTGTTTTTTTTTTTTGCTCTTTTGTTAAATGTTTTTCCTTTTTGATTTTACCCTTCAATCAAAATCTTTTTGTTAATCTTTAATTTATTTTTTATATTTATTTTTATTTTTATATTTATTCTAGTTCTTCTAATTAATGTTTTTCTTGTGGGACCCTTTTATATAATCCTTTTTTTTTCCTGATTTCATTATTTAAAGTTTGATTTGTTATGGATTGTGTTTTATAGTTTTTTCATATATTGTGATTTTCGAGATCATAAGTTGGAAAAGTTAATGCTTGTTGATATTCTTTTTTCTTGCGGCTTATTTTTTTTTATCTCATTTTTTGATATCATTATTATTATTTTTAAAAATAATTTTGTGATTTTTTTAAATTTTTTTTCTATCAAGTTATCCTTATTTAATGACATGGATCATGAATTTTGTGGGTTAATCCAAGATAGCTTGCCCATTATTACCTAGTTTATTTGTCTATTATTACCTAGTTTATTTGTCTATAATGTTGCATGGGCTGACCGAATGTATTTTTGTCCAATTTTATTCAATTTTACTTTCAAAGGTTTTTTTTTTAAGTTACAATCTCTTTTTTTTTTTGAAAAAAGGTTTTCTTAACTGAGGTTTATCAAATGTGTGTTAGATGTAAGTGTTTTTTTAATATTTTTTGAAAATATTTTAAGATAAATATTTTGAGATTATTTTATATTTTTTTAAAATTAATACATCAAAACTATAAAAAAAAACACTAAAAAACATTGTGTAGAAAGCTTTTAATGAAAAATGTATGTAATTTTGAAAGACAATGACAAATAATACTCTCTTTATTCTTTTAAATATTTAAATCAGTATTTTTTTTTAATGAATTTGCTGTCTTGAATTCTATTGAGATCTGTATTTTTAAAATCATCTAGAGAATGATTTTGTTGCGAAAATACAATCATAATAAACAAACAGAAAAGAGAAGAATCGTAGGGGGGCCGCACTTTTTTATTTATTTATTAATAAATAAAGTGAAATGGGAAATTGAGTATTATTATTATTATTATTATTATTTGGCTGATGAGATATGAACTAAAATTCGAAAACCCATGCAAGGAAATCAAATCCAAGTGGTGGCCATAAACATAGGGGACAGACATCTTAATTTAGCTTTCGAAGGTCAAACTCTCTCTCTAAACCCATCACAATATAAACACACGGTTTTGACTCTTAAATAACCTTAATTACTTTCTTAAACTTATTTATCATTTTTCACAATAAATAAATAAATCTCCCGTTCCAACCAATCAACAAAGAGAAAAAGGTAAAAAGGACAAAAACACAGGCACAGAACAAACCCCATTTTCTCTCTCCTTTCTCTTTCTTTTTGTTTCATTCCTCCGTCTCTTTCTTGATCCATGCCAGAAGGAGAAAATAATAATAATAATAATAATAATAATAATAAAACCATTGAAGATATATCGATTAACTATTGAATTCTTGAATTTTTCTTGCTTGGATGCTTAGATATAGAAGCCCATTTTATCATTATCGTTGTTGTTAAATCTCCAATGCGGTCTTTGAGAAGGCCACAAACAAGGGAAGGACAAAGAGGCAAATATCATAACAGGAAAACCAAGAAAGGAAATCTTATCTGTGAAGAGGAAACTATTAAAGATAGCTGTGGATCTGATGGTGGGTGGGGTATTGCTGGGAGGGAAGGAGGTAGAATTCGTTGCTTTTGTGGTTGCCGCAGCTAGGTTTGTAGTGGTGGGGCTGCATAGGAAAGGAATATGCAGCTTCACATCTCTCCTAGCATGAGAAGCATCACTATATCTTCGAGCAGCAACAATGGATTTATTGACTCAATGAAGATCAAAGTCGCAGCTCGCCATATCTCTTATCGAACCCTTTTTCATACTATACTCATTCTTGCTTTCTTGTTACCTTTTGTATTCATTCTTACTGCTGTGGTTACGCTTGAAGGAGTCAATAAGTGCTCCTCATTTGGTGAGTTTAGTTATTTATTTTTATTTTTCTAATTGCTTCTCAAGGTTTTCTGACGTGTTTAAATATTTAGTTTTGTGGTTGTTTTGATTGTGATTGTTTCTTGCTGCTGTGGTTACGCTTGATGGATCATTATTCGATTTGGGTTGGGATTGCTTTCTAATTTCATGATTTTCTCATTTTCTGTATGTGTGCATTTGGTTGTGGTTGTTATGGTGTGTTTGGATCCTGATTTGATCTGGGTTAAGGTTGTTTTTCACATGTAATGCATTTGTGTCTTTTTGTGTTATCCGGTGCCTATATATACATGAGTGTGCCTCATGTCTGGTATGAGCATTTGATTATTGATAATTTCAATTTGTTTACATCTCTTTTCTGCAATCCTAATACCGCGTACTTTCAATTTGTTTAATCATTTATATGAGCAGACAGTACACGGTATTGCCGGAAAAAGATGTAAAGAAATTGAAATTATCAATTATCAAATGTTCATGCCATACATAAGGCACATTATATATATAATTGTATTCATTTGATTATGATTTTTGCATTTGTGATTGAGATTGAGGATGATGGATCTCGTTCTGATTCAGTAGCATGTTATATTTGTTGTCATAGTAACTTCTTAAGCTGAATATATTTCATTCCATTAACTTAGCTTTGGGCTTCTTGATCAAGCATGGTTAATTCCTGGATTCTTCCATTTTCATTCATTTTTCACCTATGTTTGCACATTTATTTTAACCATTGAGGCTTTGCACTTGTAAATTGATAGGGAATAGGTTTCAAATTCATTAATTTATGAATTCTGGGAGATTATATTTTGATTACTATATATGATAAATATGAGCTAAATGAAGATTTGATGGACTTTTGCACATGTGAATTTTGATTATTATCAGATTACATTCTGGATGAAGAATGAGTTTTAGTCCATGCATGCCAATATCATATAAAATAGAATTTGATTACATGGTAGATTCGAACCTAGATTAATAGCAACTCACTGATACTTTAAACAGATAAAGACTTCTTAATCACAATTTGTGGTGGTTCATAAAACAAAAAATCACAATTTTTTTATTATTTATTTTGTTCTCATGGCTATTTCATTTTCTTTTTAATCCCCCTTATACTGTGAATTTTGTTCACCAGTGTTTCTAATTCAAACCATTTAAATGTTACAGAGCAGTCTGGATCTGCTTGTATCGTGTCTCCACTCTATTATGTCCTGGGATCTGGATCTAGGATTTCCTTCCATGATGATGTTTCTGTGTTTGTGGTGGATACTTGATTCTTGTTCTTACTTTGCTTTTGTTCTACAGATTGTTTAGGTAGGCGGTTAGGACCAAGGCTTCTTGGAAGAGTAGATGATTCAGGGGTAAGTAAGCTTTTTCCTTCATCATTCACAGTTTCAGATTAAATATATTACCTGCTCTCCTACTTTTGGATAATTTTGTTATTGGTTATTACAAATTGAATACTTATGCTGGTGGTGATGATGCAACAGAGGCTTGTGAAAGACTTTTACAAGATACTCAATCAAGTAAAAAATGAGGAAATCCCAGATGGTGTAAAGCTTCCGGCTTCTTTTAATCACCTTGTTTCTGAAATGAAGAACAATCAGTATGATGCAAGGACATTTGCGTTCATGTTGAGGGCTATGGTATGTGTCAAGTTATTCAAACATAGAGATAATTACTTTCGGATTTGGTTCATCTCCTTATTTTTAACTTCTTGGAGGAGAGCATGGTTGACAAATATGTTTTAGTTTCATGGTTCTGGACTTGTTTCTGCTCCTTTAATCTTGTTCTAAACTAGTTATATCCCTGAATGAGGGCTGTTAGACAGGAATTAGATTTTAACTTTCTTGGTTCTCGGTCATGTTTTCTGTTAAATGGTAATCTTAGCATTTGGAAATTTTTGAGGTGGAGAAATAAATGATATTTGGGTGATGCCTCTAACAGTAATTTTTTCTACTTTTGGTTCACCAGCGAAAGAAAGAAAGAAAGAAAGAAAAGGGATTCTAAAGCAAGGGGGATGGGTAATAGATGATACTTGAAATTTTTTCCTTGTGTATTCTATCAAGTAATGATTTGCCAGAAGTGTTCTCTGCATGGATCTATGAACTATTGCTATTAAATTATTGCATGCTAAATTTTTATAGACAAATAAAGAGAAAATTTAAGAGAATTGGAACTATTGCTATTCAATTACTGTGTGCTAGAAAATGATTTGTCAGTTTCATTCATCAATACTTTGTGAGAACTAAAATGCCAATTCAATCTATGCTCAAATAAATTATCTGACCCATTCTCCCAATCATTGAAGACTATTCTAAACCTAAAACATTACATTGGATGATGGACTTCAAGTTGTTATATGTTTATGCTGTACCGTCTGATCTCTTCATTTATATAGATCACTAATTCGAGCTTCAAACTTAACCTATTTGCTTATTTGACTATTTTCTTTGACATTGTGATAAATGAGGTGGCCATAATTTTGTGACCTTTCATGCCATGCCTTACACTTTTTGTATATCAACTATACTTGTTGCTTATTTTATAACTTTCTCTTTGGTGAGCATCTGATTCAGTTTTGATTTATTGCTTGCTTGGCATCCTGTTCAGGTTGTCACGGGATGTGTCCACAGGACCTCTTTACATTTCTATTCTCTAGGTCGTACGATTGTAATAATTCTAGTATGGTTGGGATGCTATAATTATTTTTGGTCTTTCAGGGGCAGAAGATAGGGGCAGTTTTCTCATAGTTTGGTAGTAAATTGGCTAATGTCATGAATCGTGGTGTTGTACAATTTGCTGACTGTGGAGATACCATCAATTGTTTCTTAATGATGTTCTCTAATAATTAGTTTGCAGCCTCCTTTTATGGTCGTGGCCCTTTCCTGGAGGAAACTCCTTGCCTCATGTTCTTTCTCTGCTATTCTTTTGTGTGTGTGTGTGTGTGTGTGTGTGTGTATTAAATTATCTCTTGGGAAAACATGCTATTGATATGACTCTTTCATTATTCAAAAAATAAATTGAATTATTGTGCTCAACTATGATGGAGCTGGAATGCTGCAGTCATGGGACTACTACTGTTGTATGTTTAAGTTTAGATCTTTTAACTGCAACATGTTCATGATACTTTGTCTCATTGAAGTGGATGTAAAATTTGTATTTAATATCTTTTGTTATGTCATGATCGATCCAGCAACTTCATTTGCATTTAGTCTCTTTTCTTATTATCGTATTCCACATATATGCATAAATTCATGTTAGGGAGTGGAGTTACTCATGCTTCTCCAAGAGAAAATAAGAAACAAAAATCTGATGGAATGTTAAGAAAATATTTTTAACTGATGTCATTCTTTTATTATCTTTCACAGATGGAAAAATTGGAAAGAGAAATTAGGGAATCTAAATTTGCAGAGCTGATGAACAAACACTTTGCTGCAAGTTCCATCCCCAAAAGTATCCACTGCCTCTCTCTTCGTCTGACTGATGAATATTCTTCCAATGCTCATGCACGTACACAGTTGCCTTCTCCAGAGTTCCTTCCTTTACTCTCTGACAACTCATACCACCACTTTGTCCTCTCAACTGATAACATTTTGGCTGCATCAGTTGTTGTCACTTCTACTGTCCAGTCATCTCTAAAGCCTGATAGGATAGTTTTTCACATCATAACTGATAAGAAAACTTATGCGGGTATGCATTCATGGTTTGCGCTAAACCCAGCCTCCCCTGCTATTGTTGAAGTGAAGGGTGTTCACCAGTTTGACTGGTTAACAAGAGAGAATGTTCCAGTGCTTGAAGCAGTGGAGAATCATAATGGTATCAGGGATTATTACCATGGGAATCATATTGCAGGGGCAAATCTTAGTGATACAACACCACGGAGATTTGCTTCTAAATTGCAGGCTAGAAGTCCGAAATATATATCATTACTTAACCATCTTCGGATATACATACCTGAGGTAATCTCATATGAAGTTTATCTTTTCTGTTGTCTTACTAGGAGACTAATGAATTATGATGTGTATGGTTTATTATAAAAGAACTAGGGAACTATAGATGTTAAAGGATAAAAAAAGAAAGGGAAAAAAACTCTAATTCATGAGGCATTGTTGTTGATGGATTAATTCATCTTCTCAGAGGTACAAACTCACCTGATCTCACTGGAAATTATAGTACCTCATCAGTCAAACAAAGTCAGGATTAACTTTAGTAGATTTACAAGTATCTGGGATTGTTGATAGCATTCATTGATTTTTATTGGGAGAGCCCTGTGAATTACTGAAGTTTCCAAAAATTTTATCATATTGAAATATGAATTAAGTGTGATACTTACAAATTGAACAAGCAAGATGGATATGAATAACAAATGATGTATTACGGGAAGTTAGGAAATTTTTTCTGAAAAAAGAAATAGCAGTTTGATGATCCAATGCATGTAGAATGGAAACAAAAATTTCTTCATTGCTTTTGTTGCTAACTTTAGCATTAATTTTTCCCTCCTAAGAACTAATGTATCATTAGTCCAACCTTTGAGGTTGGCCAAAGTTTTTGCATTTTTGTTTTCTTCATCTGTTGGCCCAAAATCTTCTTTCTGATTTGTTATGCTGAACAGCTCTTTCCAAACCTCGACAAGGTGGTGTTTTTAGATGATGATGTTGTAATTCAGCATGATTTGTCTCCACTTTGGGAAATTGACCTTAAGGGAAAGGTCAATGGAGCTGTAGAAACTTGTAAAGGTGAAGATGAGTGGGTAATGTCCAAGCATCTCAAGAACTACTTCAATTTTTCACATCCCCTCATAGCAAAGAATTTGGACCCTGATGAATGTGCATGGGCTTATGGAATGAATATATTTGATCTCCATGCATGGAGGAAAACGAATATAAGAGAAACCTACCATTCTTGGATGAAAGAGGTAAGCCCTACACTATTTAGTTTCTTGCTTATCCTAATAATTTTGTTGTTCCTTCTTCTGGCCTCCAACTTTTCTTGGTCTAATAAAATAACAGGATAGTGTTAATGCCTCTAAAATTTTCACTAACACGTTCATGTTGTTGTATTTGCTGTCTTATGTGGTAAGTGACTCCTTGAACATGCTAAAACATAACCTTGATTCTCAAAAACACAAAAACAAAAGCAATAAATAAATTCCTATCTAAAGAATCACTGCACTAGTAAACAAGCATTGCTAGCTCCAGCATTACTCTTTGAAAAAGAAAAAGAAAAAAATCCTATGAGTAGCACCGTGTTAGTAAACAACCTTCATCATCATCTTTTTGCTTGGTCATGGGCTTCTGTTTGTGTGTGCTTACAATGACTGGGTTCACAAGAAGTGATATTTTTGGTTCTATACACTCAATTAATTTGCAAGCACATCACTTTGGGTTGTTTCTCCCTCAAACTGTTCCTGTATGTTCTAGTTGATAGTTTCATATTTGTTGTCTGCCAGAATATTAATCAAACATTCAACTTCACCATTGATCTAAATTTTGATCAGTATCACAGCAAATACTGATATTTTGTATAGGTTATTCTTGTATGCACCGGATGTTGGTGAGGTTGCTTGCCCTTATAATGACTTGTATATAACTGTTGGCAAATAAGAGATGCCATGCGACCATTTTTCTCAGATTCTGGGTTATTTTGTGCAGAACCTGAAGTCAAACCTGACGATGTGGAAACTCGGAACCCTACCACCGGCTTTGATTGCATTTAAAGGTCATGTTCATCCAATTGATCCATTCTGGCATATGCTTGGACTGGGATATCAGAACAATACAAATATCGAGAGTGTAAAGAAGGCTGCAGTTATTCACTACAATGGTCAGTCTAAACCTTGGCTGGAAATTGGCTTTGAGCATCTACGACCATTTTGGACCAAGTATGTGAATTACTCTAATGATTTTATAAGGAACTGCCACATCCTGGATTCAGTTTGATTAACCATAGGGGCTAGAGCTATTATTGAAATGGAAAAAACAAGTGATTTCAGGTGCCATGTAAGTTTTTTCATGATTGAGAATTTTCTCAAGGTCTACTTGAGAAGGCAAGTAGAAAATCATACAGAAGGGGGCAGAGTTTCAGGTCTGAATTCACTGTCATACCTCGTTCCTTTGCAGAAAATGGCTGCGTCACCAGCACGGGCATGGGATTCTTTCTTTCAATCTTTAACATAGCAACCCATCATTTTTTTTCTTGGTTGAAATATGGATACTATCAGTGGGCTTCCTGCAGAGAGTCTATCTAGCCTGATTTCCTGGCACATATATTAGAATAAAGCAAGATACACGTGTTAGAAAGTGCATATGCCAATGCATCATACTGCTTGGTACAGGGAAGAGGAAGACTAGGACAGGCCTCTAGTGAGGGCTCAAGTATTGGTCTAGAAATGTTTCTTCCCTTCGTTTTTTTTCCTCGTTTTTTTTGCTAGCACCTCCCCCTTTTTTTCCTCGTTAATTCGATATCATCAAGGTGAAACTTAGTAGTAGGTAATGGAGATTGCTTTGTTACAGGACCTATTGAATTGGGGAACCTTTTAGGTTATATATCAGTATTTGTTATGTACGATTCATGAGAAACATTAAAATGCGCAGAAAATTCTTTTTTTTTTCTTTTTTCCTCTCTCTAGAATTCTGTGTGCTTTGGCGACCATGTCCGGTTTCAAAGTCTTGCTCCTTGCATCCTCTAACTGTTTGTGACGTATTATTTAACCATGATGCTAATGTGTTTTTTCTTGTGGGGAACAAACCAAGATGCTGATGTTTGTTTCCACAAAACCTAATCCCAGATGTCATGATACTCTTAGCTAACAATTTACAAAAAAGGAACTAGAGTACCATCCAACCTGCCAAATCATGTGGACAGGTCCATGATCAATTGTGAATTATATTCTTATGCAGAATAATTAATTTATGAGGCAGTCCATGTTTTGCATGCAGTTTCTGCCTCCTTTCCTCGTCGAGAAGAAAGTTGTTATGACTTTGACAATACCCTTGGGAAAGATACGGTCACATAGAGACAGAAATTTTATATACAATTTCTTTGGCAAGCAAGGGGGATTCTTGGTGTTTGTGGGATTCCATGATGACGAGGAATCCATTTACTAGTACGATTAACTTTCTTTAAGCATCCGAAAACCGAATGTGGTAGTTCTGATCTTCGTTATGCCTCACGCGTCCCAATTATCTTGAATGACTCTTGGGATTTTGCTTTTCGACCATTTGTTTGAATAGGTTCGTTGACAAAACAGATACCTGCTCAATAGAAAAAGAAGATGGATGCAGACAAAATGGGTCTCGTCAGTTATCATCGAAAGAAGAAATGGAATTGTATTTGATGTTTCCATGGCTGCCTGCCTCCTTGACAGGGTCCTCGTAGACTCTTCCACGCATTGGCTGCCTTCATTTTTGACCATTGTAATAATATCATGAATCTATCTGCTTGGCATCGACATCCTCCCATTTTTCTGGCTGCATGCCTTAGGCGGTGCATAACATTTTTAAACCTCCTCTTTTTTTTTTTCTTCTTTTTTTCCCTTTTAATTTCAGGTTGGAGCCATGGAGGCATGATAAATAGATACATCTATCTCCACATCTCCTTAAGATAGTAAGTCTGCCACTAACCTGCCCGCCTGCCCATGCAAGCTTTAGCAGACAATAATGATTTAGTTTTAGTGCTCGGCATCAAATTTGACAATGTCCTCCAGAAGCTGCAGTTTTTTTTTTTTGCTTTAAAAAAGTGTGCATGTGCAAAGAAGAATGAATGAAGTCTGGTGCTGTTAATTTAGCAGTCACGCCTCTTTTTTGTTTATTTCTTTCATACTGGCTGCTAGAAGAGATCAAAATAAAAACAAAGGTAAAAAATATTGTTACGTGTTAGTTTGAAAAATATGCAGAGTGATTAGTGAATCTTGATCATGATTGAATGGCTATGATGATAGTGCATTGGCAAACATAAATCTGTGTATAAGTGTGACACACAATCATAATAGAGGAATATATGGTTTTTTAGTATTATTTCTTTCTTCTGCTTCTTCTTCTTCTTTTTTTTTTTAAAAAATAGCACACCGTGTGACATTGTAAACCTGGGAAACAAAGGCTAAAAGTCTTATCAAGTATAAAAAAGAGAGAAACCTGTCCATTTCCCTTAGTCATAGGAGAAGGCAAGGATGGAAGCACCGACCATAGATTTAGAAGACTTTGAAAACTTCGAAACAGCCTCCATTCAGGGGATTTATTTGATCCCTATTCACTATTGATACACTCACATCAGTTTTTTCTTTTTCTTCTTCTCTTTTTTCTTCATGTTTGGATTTTCTTTAGCTAAAAAGAGATTGGCCCAGATCAGTTTTAGAGAAAAGTAAGCCAACCCATCAAGGATTTTCCCTTTTGTTGAATGTTTGTTTTGCTTTTTTGATGACCCAGTTGAGGATTTGGGTTGACTTTAGTGTTTATGGGAGCGTCCTCTTGGTGGTTTTTTTATTTTTTATTTTTTATTTTTTATTTTTTTATGTTGTTATGTGCATGCAAGTTATCCATATTCTTTGAGTGTTTCCTTTGATTTTGAGGATTTGTTTGAGGAAGAACTACTTGAAGTTTTTTAGGTGGTTGTGATTTGTAGAAGATTTGTTGTTAGAAATCTTGGTATGCTTATATGTACGTGTGTTTGTGATTTCTTTCTATTTGCGTGGCCTCCTGCATCATTTTGTTGCAAGATAGCGTGGTTAGCTTTGCTTCTAATTTTGGATAGATTCACCGGGCTATATTTGATTGCTGGAAATCCCAGTTCAAAACTATTTCCTTAACAGTTTTTCTTTTTTGCATTACTCACCTGTTCTGCATAACATATTCATGTGCTCTCTGTTTCTTTTTTCTTTTTTTGATTTCGTTTTTATTTGGCAGAGTATCCAATTCAGGATCTTGGTGAAATATTTGTCTCTGTGAGGATCCAAATCAAGAAATTTAGTGGGCTTGATTTGAAATAGAAATCAATCGAGATAAAAGGTTCAAGTAGAGGAGGGTGACTTGATTTTGAAAGACTGAATCTTTGAAGATGGCTGGGGTGCAAGATCAGTTAGAGATCAAGTTTCGATTGGCGGATGGATCGGATATTGGTCCCAAAACCTTTCCTGCTGCTACAAGTGTTGCCACCTTGAAGGAAAATATTCTTGCCCACTGGCCTAAAGGTTAGATAACCTTTCAAAGGTTCCCCCCCCCCCTCAAATCTCAAATTATAATCTTTTCTCTTGACTGTTTCATTATGAAATCTGGCACAAATTGTGCTCTAGAACAGACATGTACTGATTGTGGGCTTCTATTTAAAATTCTGTGCAATTTACACAGAAGCAACAACTTTGACAAGATGAAGTAGAACCATGTTTGTTTCCTTCTGCCTTGAATCAATATGCATACCCAATCCATTATTTGAAGAAATCCTTGATTTATTCAGTTACAATTATCAGATACATAAACTGCAAGCGTTTTTGTTCTTATGAATATTCATGAAAATTTGTAACAAAATTCTGAAATCTGAACTGATATCAACACTGTTTGCCTCAAACCAAAACTGAAGTAAAAAATTATTTTGTTTTCATGTTCAGTCATTTCTTCATCGTTGTTGGTAATTTGGATTTTAATACTCTTCTTCTTTCTTCAGTCAAGTAATTTAGAAATTTACTGAGACTCTAGTTTGGGTTGTAAGAGGTTGTTTTTGTTCATTGGCAATCCAGTATGAATACGTTTCTGTAAAGCAATTGCATTTTAATTTTCAGATGCTAGTTATTAAGAACCACTGTCAAACTTTATAGCATAGCATCATATTTGTCTTGTCATCATGCTAGATCAACAACATCTTTAAGTTTTTTTTTTTTTGCTGTTTATTCTCCAGTATAAACACGAGTTCTCCGTTCTGAACTTTGATGCTTTCTATGGTTTTAAGTAATTTCCAAGAAATATAATTCGAGTTATTTAAACCTGTTAATATTTGACCAGAAAAGGAGAATGGACCAAGGACATTGAAGGATGTCAAGTTAATAAGTGCAGGAAAAATACTGGAAAACAACAGAACTGTAGGGGAATGCCAAAGCCCACTGTGTGACATCCCTGGTGGGGTTACAACCATGCATGTTGTTGTTCATCCATCTTCTGTAGAGAAAGGTACGAGTATTCTTCCATCATCTAATAATGACGGCCAAAACTTTTAAATATATTTTTTTTTCCCACCGGCTGTTTCTTGGAGCCTCTTGGAAATAATTTTTTTGTTTTGTTTGAGCACTTCGCAACTAGCATGGCATGTTTTGTTCTTATGTAGAAATTTTCTAGGTTCCCATATGCTTCTTTTTTTCGGTGAAAAAGCCTTGTTGGTGGTTTTGAGAATGATACCCTGTCCCATTCTTTCCCCTTTTCTGGTCTACCATGTTAGATAATGGCTATTCTTGTGAATACCTTATTACTTACAGGCCAGGGACAGCAGAAATGATTGCATTACATTGAGTTCCCAGGCACCTTATAAATTATAACGCAATAGTTTATGTCTATTCAACTCAATTATTGGCAATTTCAATTCTATATTAATGGAAAGTATACCTTTGCCAACTATACAGCTGACTACCTAATCACTTTGGCCTTGTCCTGTTGCTTGTAGTTTATTTGAATAATCAATTCTGCTGCTAGTGTCTTATTAAAATTTGTATCCCTTTTTGGCGGAGCAGAGAAGAAAGCGGCAAACCAACCAAGGCAAAGCAAATGCGTTTGTGTTATATTATAATTTTCACCTCCAAGAGCAGGAATTACATCAAGGTAAATTTAGACACATGATTATCCATTTCATCTTCAACAAAACACCATGCTCTTTAAGTTAATTTTATGTTCTTTTTCTGTGTTTTCACAGGTATAGAGTTTGGTGCTGGTAAAGATAAGGAAATTGGCAACTTGTGGATTTGATGAGAGGCAATGACATTATGAACTTTTATTATATATCCATATATAGGTGCAGGTCATAGCCTCCCCATACAGTTTGCAGATCCAACCCATTTGGTATACCACGATTGTATTTAAGTTGATTTAACTTTGCTTTCATGCAACTAAATCTCAAATTTAGTTGAAAATTTCTCACTGGCACCTATCCCAGATTTTGCATATTAAATTTGTGTCACCTCGTCTTGTATCATTCATAGCTGGACAATTTGAGTGAGTATACCAATTCATGTTGGAGGTCATTATTTACCTAGCTGAATGCTGAAGAGCTCGACTGTGTTCTGGAATGCAGAAAAAAATCTTGGCCATTCCTGATCAAGTGTATCATTGTGATTTCAAAATGTCTAAAGTTAAATGTAGTTTATGAGTATTGCTTTTTGGACTTCCATAGTAGTCTTGATCTCTACGACAGACAATGCTACGACATGGAGCTCCTTGACAGTGAAGAAAATCAACATATTGCTAATCTCTGAAGACTTTTTTGAAGAAGGAAGGTTATATTACTGACATGTTTACTTCTATTGTGGGTGATGTATTTGGGTTGAAAGCCATATGCACTCTTCGTTTGTGTGAAGGATCTGCGAATATCCCTGCTTGATCTAAAACTTTTCAAGGCATCCAAGTAGAGAGATTTATTAACTTGGTATGTTTGTTTTCTATGACACCAATTGCTTAGAATTACGGTAGAGTAATGGATTTGATTTTATAAAAGATGATGAGAGCATGAGCTCCTCCTATATGGTGGAGAGGTGGAGCATTTTATAAAGCTCAAGTTGAAAGTGGTAAAATCAGCATTATTTAAATGCTTTTGCTGTAGGTACAGGCGAAGAAATATTGGGAGATGTTATCATAATTGACTAATAAACACTGGGGATTCACCGGAGAGATTATCATAGTGCACTGCTACTAATAAATACAGGGGATTCACCGATTTGGCTCATCGTTGCAGAGTGGTTCTTAGCTAAGTACTTTTCATTGTCTTGCTGAAAGACACCAGATTCTAACTTTCAATTGCGTATGAAATCAAAATGCCATTTCCATATTCATATTTACCGTATAAAATTCGGATTTTAGTGGAGCTATTATCATCTTATAAGAGAGTGTTTGAGAATATTGTTATAGTCTGATAGTATTGTTATAGTTGTTACTATTATTATTAAAGTTGTTTTGAAAGAGTTTTATTTGAAAATATATTAAAATAATATTTTTTATTTTTTAAAAATAATTTTTGGTATAAAATGATTTAAAAACACAAAAAAATATTAATTTTAAAAAATAAAAATATTTTTGAAACTCAAAAAAATCTAATATAAATCACTATTTTCTGGCAGTTTCTTACAACATTCCTGCTAAATGTTCCCTTCCCACCCTGGACATTACCTGAATTTTACACAGAATATTGTTGGTTCGTTTTGTCCGGAGGCTTGCTTGCAAGTTTCAAGCTTCCCTTGTTCCTAGATGCTTGGTGGCAAACTGGCAAGGATCTAAAGAAGAGAAGAGAGGGTAATCCTAATTTTACCCTTTTATGGTGAAGGTAAATCTAGCGGGCACGTAAAGGTCAAATATGGTAATGTGATTTTGGTGTATTAAAAATAGTTTCAAGACATGTTTTGCAAGTTTATTAGTGGACCGGGTGCTGTCTTTTTCTTCTTTCTATTTTTTTAACACTTTTATTTTTTTTATTAAATTCATTTAATTCTCAATATTATTATAAATTTTTATTTGAATTTTAATGTTTTTTTTAATTATCATGTTTGTGATTTGAAAATAATAATACTAATAATAAATTATTCATGAAAATTCAATTGAAATCTTTTTTTAAATTAAAATATTTATATAAATTTTAAACATGACTTTATCACATTTATAATCTTTCTAGCTTTCAATCACACATACTATTTTGATTTTTTTGTTAACTTGTTTTAATAATTATAACATATTAAAAAAAACAAAAATAATGATTTCAATTAAAAAACATTGTGTTGACTAAGAAAACAAAGATATATTATTAAAAAAATCATCTTGAGGAGAAAACAATTCAAAACAATTGTATTTTTTAAGATGTGAAAATTTGTTTTACATTTTAAAAAAACTAGGTCCTCCCATAACATAACATAACAAGAGCACACAAACTAATATAAACCATTCTTTGAAAATCTCAATTCTTATGCATTTTGTTGAGATATGAAATTGTGAATGAAGGTATTTAATGATTTTTTAGTAATGAAGTTTTATGTTGTTTTGTAAGCTTATCTAGTGTTTATAATATAGTTGTCATGCTAGTTTAGATAATAGGTTTATTGAGTCAAATTAAATCGGTATCATTTTTTTTTTCTATATAAAACTTTATCATTTTAAACAAACATATAAAAAACTAAAATGACATCATTTTAAAAAAATATTTTAAAAAAATCTTAAAGTTGACTAGAATATATTGATTAGGTTTTTTTCGAGTTTGATCAAGTCAATTAAGTTTGTCGAGTTTGATTGAGTCAATTTTCAAACCAATTCAAACCAATTTGAAATGAAACCGACTTGAACCATACTCTAGATAAGCGGGTTACCAAACTAGCTAGGCATGTTTATCAACTATGGTTTAGAATCTAAAATGGAAAATTTTAAACATATATGTATTTCTTAAAAATTATGAAACTATATATAGTGTCGCATAAAAGAAAAGTTGAAGAAAAAATATGTCATTTTTTAAATAAACAGCATACCATTATGGAATATTTAAAAATAAAGAAAAGATTTTATAATTTTGGAGCTAAATGACCCTAAAAAACAAACCACAATGTTGCCTCTATAGTTGGATTTTATTTTTTTATGTATTATATAGACAATGAATAAAAACTCTGTCATAACTCATTTTTTATTTTTATTTTTAAAGTAAATTGAAAATTAGAATAATTTTCAAAAACATATCTTTTCAATGCACTTTAGCCAATTTATGTTCTTTATGATTTTTAGACACTTTTGTTTACTTCATGTAGGTTTTTATAATAAAAACAAAAGAAAAAGAAAAACAAATAAAAGTGAAATCATGAGTAAGGAAGAAAAAGGGACTAATATGATGGAGGCTACATTAATACAATGAAAAATCATATAAATGAGAGAAAAAGATAAATAGATATTATCTTTTATAAAGTAGAGACCCAAGAGAAAACTGAAAAAATTATAAGGGAGATTCTACATAGTAAAGAAATGAAAAAATTAATTAATCTTTAACCACAAACTTTTCAATTAGAGATTTTCATTAAAGAAGGAAAGAATATAAAAATTTTAATTTTTTTTTCAATTTTGATTTTATAGTTTTGATGGAACCTGAGTAAACAAATTAATGCCTAGGAAAAATAAATAGACACACAAATATCCTACATCATAAACACCTTAAAAGAGAGAGGAAAAAAAAAATAGTAGAACAAAAAATCCCTCTCGGCCAAAACAAAAGGAAGCCTCAATGCACTTTAGCCAATTTATGTTCTTTATGATAGCCACCCACCCCTCTCACTTTTTCCACTTAGTAGCTAAAAGCCATCACACTCCTCTATCTCCTTCACAACTTTAGCCACAACTCTGAAACCACCCTTTCAACTCCATTGTCAATTAGCCTAAGTGATTAGTATTTAAAAGTGTATTTTTATCAAGGTTTTATATAACTATTTTGCACTTAAAGTATCAATAACTCTTTAACTAAAACATGTTTTATAATAACAAGTCTGATATCATAAAATATCTTTAATTTATAGTAAATATTCATCTTAAATGCAAGCCTATCACATAAATCAAAGGATTGATTGATGAGTTTAACTACTAAAATTGAGAAAATAAAGAGAGGGTGAAGCTTATAAAAGATTCAATCCAAATTGGAACACTATTTGGTAATTGGATCATATATAGAGTTGTAGATCTTAGATTTATGCTTACTCTATATGAATGGAAAGATAAGATATAGACCTAAAACATTCATGAGAAGGCAAACTCAATTCTTTTATTTGGAAGTTCAAATCTTAGCAATAATAGAGAATTTTGAATCTGTCTTGCAGCCCAAATACTATTTGGAAGTTCAAATCTTAGTAATAATAGAGAATTTTGAATCTGTCTTGCAGCCCAGATACTTTCAATGTTAGCCTATATCTTGAGTTCTAAAAATTCAAATGACCACTTAATGAGAGTTTGTTTATCTGGATAAGGACGAATTCTAATGTTAGCAATGATGTTTTTAACAAACAAGAAGAAAAATATTGTCACTAAGTCAAGAGTTGGCCACCCACTTAACAATTAGACATCAAATTAATAGTTTCTAATCTTGGCCTATAAAAGGAGACATTTGTCATGCATTTAGACATCTTGGTTTTCAGATCAAGATCATGTTCTTGTTCTTTCTCTTTATATTTTTGTAATGTTTAAGTTTTTCTTTCATTAATCTCTTGTTTATACTTTGCATTTCCTTTTTTTTTCTTTCATTAATATCTTGTTTATGCTATGCATTTCCTTTCCTTTATTTAGTTAATTTATATCTTATTTATGTTCTTATCTTGTTTATTTATGTTTCTCTTCTTTCATTATATTTAGTTAAGTTTATTATATTAAGGTGAAAAGATTATATTAATGGTGTAAGAATAAGTATAGTGTAAGCTCAACAAGGACTTTAATGTTTGATACGAACATGTTTTATATTTGTTATCTTGTTCACTTTTAATAGTTTAGTTAAGGAGTTGTTGATATTCCAAATGCAAAATGTTGATATAAATCCTTGATAAAAATATACTTTTAAATATTAATCAACAACTTTATTTTGTTAAAGAGCGTATAGCCAGGAATGTTGGAAGAGAAAACTAGTTGAAAGAAATTAAACATATATTCCTCATTGAATTAGAACTTAAAGTTTCAATACATGTAGAAAAATAATTTTCAACAAAGACAATAAAATTTTAAAAGATGTAAAACACATAAGCTTTAGAAAGAAAAAAAATATGTCTAAACCAAAATATAATCATAAATAAATGTCATAAAATACTTGTATTAAACATGTGAGAAAATAGGGCTGACACTCCATATAATGATTTCAAAACAAGTAGAAGCCAAATTATTATATGAAGGAAAGGGTTAGGAGTTGTTTTTACAAAGTTTACATAAACCAAAATCAAAAGACAAAGTAGAATATGAAAGCAAATCTTTATTGCCTAAATAATCATGTTTCATAACATAAGTTAAAATAATAGAATTGAGATGTCCTAATTTCTTATATCATATATTATTATTAACAACAATTGCA